TGTATATGTAATGCCTGTAGTTCACCAGCAGATGGAGTATCTACTAAAGTGAGTAGGCTACTGAAGCACATAGACGAAGCAAATAGAGGAAGATAATAACGAACTTTTTACAAAAGCAAAGGCAAGCACTCGGTAAAAGCAAAACAGACAATAGCGCCTGTAAAATATCATATATGGTCTACCATTTAAGTGAAAAACAAATCATTAAAAATTTACAATCTAGGTAGAGCTGCCACAAAGCTGCAAGAATCTATCATTATACAAATAGCCAATCCAGGAACAGATAATACAAAAACTGAAATTTATAGACCAATCCCATTATCTTCAAATGTAATTAATTTATAGATTGACCGGAAAAACACACGTAGATAATTAGACATAATACAATATCAAGCTTTAGGAAAGTGCAGTAGCATTTAGAATCACAAAATGCAGCAGCAGTAAGCAATGAAATGAGACAAATTAAGTATTGGGTCAAAAATAAAGGAAATACACCGGAACATCCAMCATTAGACAGTTTGAAACAAAGCTGGGAGAAGAAAAATAAAGATGTAAAAAAAACATTGTTTTGGGGATCCCCCCCCCCCAACAAATTAAGTTTAAGTCGACAATTTAGACATTATTCCTATTGCACCATTATCACCAATACCACCATGAATTCTGCCAGATGCAACAGTTGACATTACACTCCAGAAGATAATGAAATACAGAAAATTAGTTTGTTATTCATATACAATACAGGATTATATCAACTACCATTATAATTATGAACAGATATATAAATCCAAAACATCAACATGGAAAGTATGTGTGTAATATATAATACCCAAATTAAAAACAGAAGTAAGGAAAATAATTACAAAAAGTATCGGTACAGGGGAGATGTTAGCTGGGTAGAATACACAAGAGAAGAGTGTAAAAACAGTGTTGTTCAAAAATGTTATGTCTGAATAAATACAGGAATCCACTGGATTTATACTCAATACTTTATTCTAAATCTTCTGATTCCAATCAGGTACAGCACAGCATTCAGCACAGGACTCAGCATCAGACCTTGAGCTGATTTTAGGAAGCCCAAAAAATGCAACCCAGTCTGTCCAGGCTGGATCTGAACAGAGACTCCGCACAACAATAACAACTTCTAAAAAACATCATAATGATTCAACCTCTTTAATCATTTCAGTCTCTTCCTTCCCTGAAGGTAACATCTTTTACGTCAGATATCATAACGTAACACATTTTTGTTTAGGCTACAAACAGAACATACACACACCAACTCTCTCTATCTGTTTCAGCCTTAATGCTGCAATGATCTGAAAGTATACAAAAGCAAAATTGCATCAAACATTTAGTTAATCAGTTACAAAATTCCCTTCAAGGCCATTAAAAACATCCATCTGTTCAGATTCAAGTTCAACACTCGTAAGTTTGCAGAAGTCACTCAGATAGCCAACAACATATTTCATCCATCTATTTCTTTCCACTTATCTGGGGTTGGGTCGTAGGGGCAGCAGTCTAACACAGACTTCATTGGAAATAAAACAAACATTATTCAGAATACAAATGCTGAGACGAACAGTAAACTTTTTATGGATACCAGCACTAGGGGGTTTGAGAAAATGAAGCAGCAGACAGAGCAGCAAAACAAGCAACAAAGGATAAAATCAGTAAATTAGTAGCTACATCAGAAGTAAGCTCTATTGCCAAAGAAAAAGTAAAAAAAGTAATGGCAAAAACACTGGGAAGAAAACAGCAAAGGACAGATGTTTTTACAGGATTCAGAGACAAGGGAGAAATGAGAACGGGAGGAAGGAACAGAAGAGAAGAAAGATTAATGTGGGGCGGCTGGGGCAGAGTGGTTAGGGGAGTCGTCCTAAAACCAGAAGGTCACCGGTTCGAACCCCCGTTCCAGCTGTCTCAGTTGTAGTGTCCTTGAGCAAGACACTTCACCCCTGATGCCTCTGATGTGTCCCATCAGTGTATGAATGTGATTGGCACTGGTTAGTCTCCCTAGATGATTGTACATGTTAGCTTTGTAGGAGAACTTGTAGAGGTCTGTGTGAATGGATGAATGAGGCACAGAATGTAGTGTGAAGAGCTTTGAGTGTCCTGGTTTGACAGAAAGGCGTTATATAAGTACAGTCCATTTACCATTTACCATTATAAGCAGACTTAGATTTGGACACAATGCACTGAACAACACATTACACAAACTCCCCAAACCAGATACAGGTCAATGTGAGAAATGTGGACAACAAGAAACCATAAAATATGTCATTATAATATGGCCAAAGTATAAACAACATGGAAGATGGATGACACAGGCACTAGAATAAATCCAAGCAAGATTTATTATAATACAAAAAGAAACAAAAGCTAAAGTATCCAGATAATTTTCAGTATATTTTTAAAAAACAACATTCTGAAAAAAACCATAAGCAAATTGCAAATTTGTAGTTTATGTATCTTTGGTTATTCATTCTCAAATAATTATTCTTACTTTTGTGCATTTAAATATAAAATGCATRAAATTAAAATACAATATACATAAAATTTTAAAATAAAACTCAGTAGAAGTACTTYGCTTCCACACTCCAGTGGCAATAGTGCACTCCATGACAAAAAGAAACAAGAAATAAAAGTGTACAGGTTGTTTTAAGTTGTTTTAGGAAAACAATGTTCGACAAAAGAACCTAAACATGTAAAAATGTAAAGATGTATGTACTCATAAGCAGGGTATATTAAATAGCAGTCAAAATGGGTTTAAAGCTAAAAATTCTACATAAGTGGCTCTAATGGAATTGATTAAACACATAGTAATAGCTGTTGACCAAAAGCAGTATTTTGTTAGTGTTTTTGTTTATCTAAAGAAAGCCTTTGACACCACTGATCTCTGGAGTGAGACCGGTTCCAATGTAAGAGATGCAGAGGAAGAAACAATGTTCTCATTCGAGAGTATTCTCAACACAATTGCAGGTACAGTTTGAAATTCTGGTTAATCAGTTTGAACATTAATGAGAAAATAATTTACAAACAAGGCCCTTCCTTGCATTTTCAGAAGGAAGAGCAGCAATCACCTTGGAGGAAATACTGGTGTTTTGGACTGGTGCTGACGAAGTCCCCCCCCTGGGATTCCCTACACGACTGCAGATAGCATTCTTCAATCAAGAGAGTCACAGCAGGCGATTCCCATATGCCTCCACATGCTCCTTGACTCTAACCCTTCCCAGAGGGGTCATGGAAGAGGACGATTTGATGGCCCTGCTTTATGAAGCATTAAGAAGCTCAGTTGGTTTTGGACATGTTTAATCATCAGTTTTTGGTTTTTCATCTTTGCTAAGTTTTTAAAATTTATTTACTTAAGAGTAGA